CTTCCCACCAGCACCGGGGCGCAGCAGGATTGAAGTTCCTCAGCCTGCCTGTCACCCCAGCACGGCTAATCTTGTCATCTGCCACTTCCACAGCCCAGTAAGTGCAAGACCCGACACAATTCCCAGATGCTGCTCTGGCATTTCCACCACCCCCAGCCACATCTGAGAGAGGAAAGGGAGGAGGGGAGGTGCCCACACCCAGAGCGTGCAAGGCACAGGGAAAGCGGAGCAGGAGGAGAAGTGAAATGCAATGCTTTCTCAGGGATCCCAGCAGTCTGGGGCTGCTCCAAACTACCCCCACCAGCCAGTTGGAATATGGTGCAAATTAGTTTTCAGACAGCCCAGCTGCAGAGGCGATGGCTGAGCATAAAAGCTCGGGGAACTTTTGGAACAGCCAGTGCATCTCACACTGCTCTCAGCTGACACTTCTCTCAAGGCAGTGCTTCCCCCTCTGGTGCAGACTGAGCCTGTAACAGTCTCCTACACGTTCTCCTCCCCAAAATGCACCCATCAGCATCATCAGCTATCCTGATGTGCAGCTCTAAACACACAACAAGCCATCGGGGCCGTGCTCAGTTTTGCAGACACGGGTTTTCCATTTTAGCATCAAGAAGTCTCTTATCAGACAAGGCTTGGGAGTTGTAGCACCAGCACATCCCTGCAGCCACTCTCTTCCAGTAGTCAGGGCTGACTATAACCCCTCAAACCCCTCCTGAGCAGGTGCCTGCAGGGTCTCAGCTCTGCTCATGCCACACACCAGCATCCCCTCAGGTCCTGCCATTGCTGGGGATCAGCTCCGGGTCAACCTGGCACCTGCTTCTCTCCTGCTCCAGGGAGGAGAGCAGCAGCACCCAGGTCACCCCCAAGGCTAGGGAAAAACCTGTCCCTCCCTTCACCCTGGACACTGAACCACTTCCTTCAGCACATCTCCACCAAGGCAGCAGCCAGAGCCCCCTCTGCACCACCATTACCTCACACACACACCAAGCTCGGCTTCCAGAGGGCATTTCTCATTCTTGGCTGCTTGTGCATCCCTCCAAGAACACCACAGCCAGACTTCCAGGGAAGCAGCAGCCTCCAGCCGTGCTATTCCCACCCCAGCATCCCCTCCTGCCCCTCAGGACAGCCCCAGACATAACTCCATGCTGATACAATCTTGTTATCGCGTAACCAGGGCCCCATTTCTGTCCCCACTAATTCCCCACCAGGCCACACATTTGGAGACACCGAATTCTTTCCCTGAAATAAGACATTGGGGATGGGGAGGGGGGGGGAAGGGGATCATCCACAGCTGTCCCTATCCCCCTCCAGACTGTGGAAGGGAGCAGCCAAGCTGCAGCTACACCACGACATCTGTTTAACACGGTCTGTGCCCCTCCACCTCCTCTGACAGAAGTGGCAGCGCCCAGAGCAGAGGGTCCAGCAGGCCGCCAAAAAGTGTCCTGGTGGCTTTGGTGATGTCTCAGACTGGGAAGGAGCATCCTTCCCCCTGCCTGGAGAAACTGGTGCATCAACTGAGCTCAGTTCAGTGTTTTAGCTCAGGTGACACATTCAGGTGCTCAGGAAAGATTTATCAGACATGCTGGAGCAGCTCTCTCTCCTGGAGCAGCTTCTCCATAGGAAGAAGGATCAACACCAGGCTTCACAGGGCGCTGGCAGAGAACACCGAGTTCTGCAAGAACATCCAGCTTTTTACCCTGGAAGATTTCCTTCCTTATCAATTCACAGGAGCTCGCGGTGAGGAGGGCTCAGCTCTTCCACACGCACTTGTTAAATCACACCAGGGATTATCAGGATCTGGGATCTCGGCTCTGACTGCTCCCAGTGCCCCCCCCCCGCAGCTCAGCAAGTGCAGCCTCTGCTTGAGGCCTCTTGGAAGAACAAAGAGCAGATTAACAGCAGATGCTGCTCCTTCGCTGGGGCTTTAAACTCGGGATGCTTTGCATAAGCAAACTCCACACCACAGCAGCCCCGGAGCACTCGGAGTGCACATCTGGCTGGGTGCACATCTGGAACCTCCTATCCCCTCCTTCTTGCCAGAGAGGGAGTCTCAAATCCGAAACAGCAGCTGTACCGAGACAGAGAACAACCCAAAGCGCTCAGGACAGACCCAGCCGTGGCTCAACGTGTTCCCTCTCAAGTTCAAATCTCCCCCAGCCAGGAGAGAAATCCCAGAAGGAGCTGGAATGAGTTACCTGCTGCACTCCAGCAGATACCAGACTGCACAGATTAATAGGGGAGTTAGAGCCAAGCTCCTTACAAACCCCATCGGTCCCCACGGCACAATTCAGCTGCTCAGTGCCGGTGGTCTTCAGCAGACACACGAGCCACGGGCTCAGTGCAGCCCTCCGTGTGCTGCCGAGGCAGAGGAGGGCTTTTCCTAAAAACCTGCACACGCAGGACAAGGCTGTTTCCTCAGAAAACCAGCCCCAGCAGCAGGAAGTTAAATGGTTGTGGAGTTGGAAACAGAAGATGTAAGTAGCGCTGTTTGGAAAACTTTGCCAGACCACAAGCAATGGACAAGCCTCAACAGCAGGATTTGTTTTACTGGAAAGAAGGGGGGAAAACCTCAAGTCTGCTAAAACATTCTCCAGGGCTGGTCCAGTGGCTCCTACCAGCGGTCACAACACAACATCCCCCCCCTCCCCAAAGGAAAAAAAAAAAAAAACGAAAAGCAAGAATCACCACTCTGGAGAAAACTTGCACCAAACCCTCTTGTACGACTGCTCGCGTCCTACTCCCCTCACAAACCGACAACGTTTTGGGACAAATAGTTTTAAAATGAAGGATAAGAGGCAGTGACACCCCAAAAAAAGCGGAGAGGGAAAGACACTGCGAGCTGAAGCCCCGCGACGTGGCTGCGGGAGGGAGCGGGTTCTATTGGGGTCCTCCAGCTCAACGCCGCGCCCACGGAGGGGGGATACGGGGGAAAAGGGGGCTAAAGGGGATAATTGGGATAAGGGGTCGGGAATGGGAAGGATCGGGATCCACCTGCCGGGCCGGGAGCGCCCCCTGCCGGCCACACCCTGCCCCGCGCACAGGTGAGCGCCGGGATGCGGGGACCCCCCCGCTCCCTCGGGAATCACCTTCACACCGTGGGATGGTGGATACGGCACACACCCCTCCAAAAAAAAAAACATCACCGGGGTGATGCCGGCACCCGCTGGCCAGCACCTGGGGTTGAGGCGTGAGGTTAAATTGGGCGAAAAAAGAGTTTTCTGGGGTCGTCCCAAGCTGGCCGGGGTTACACCCGCACCTGGCGCGCTACAGGTCCCCTCCATGCGGGTCACCCCCTCGGGAAAAGGGGGAACAGAGCATTCTCTCGACCTCAGCGGCTGCTTCCCGCAGCCCGGCAGCTCCGGGTGGGCTCCCGGAGAGCCCGGCAGCGCCGAAGGAATTCGGGGGGTCGCCCGGCTGGGAGCGGGTGGGAAGCGGGACGGGCGCGCCGGTGCCGGCTGTCATCCCGGGATGCCCGCACCCAGCGAGGGGAAGGAGCGCGGCAGCATCCCCGCCTCGGGCGGGACGGACGAGGCTCATTAAAAAAAAAAAAAAATAAAAAAAAAAAA